GGGCGCTCACTCTGTCTAACCGGCTTATCGCCCGGGATTCTCCTCTAGCATTCTGGGATTTCACACCCATCAAGGCCTGTTGTGCTTCAAATCACAAACGTCGTGATTCGAAGCACGACAGGCCCTGATGGATGCGACTCATAAATAGGAGAGTGCGAGGCGCAGAGGAGAGTCAGCAGTGGTGCATGGGTGCAGTGCATGATGTGCTCCTTATGCATTTTCTTCCCTTCTTCTGCATTATTTTCCTTCTTTCGAGTTCATGGCTTATTCTAATTTCATAGTTTCATGCAGCATTTACTTTCTTTCTAGTTCATGGCTTATTCCAAGCTCTTACTTCATGCTTTCTTATTCATGCATTATTTAACTTCTTTCCGGTGCATGGCTTACTCCAAGTTCCTAGTTCATGACTTCTTATTCATGTTTTCTCTGAGCACGACATATCGGATTTGCGATGGGCAATCAGTATTCTAGGTTGACACACTTAATATCATTTATGTGTTTTTACCCACTTCTCCTGTGCATGGCGCAACACAGCCCTTTATTTCATAACTCATTTTCCATATTTTCTCTTAGTATCTTATTCTCATGCTTCTTCTAGCACTTGAATCTGAAATATGCCCATTAACCATTGCAGATTTAATCATTACCGTTTCTTTTTGTATTACACATTATTTTGTATTTCGTAACGTAATGGTAGATTATTTTTTTTGTCATTCGTTTAATTACCCAAGTTTGAGGTGTTCGATTTCGCTGGTCAATAAAGGAGCATTGCATACCGCGTGGCACAGAAGCTGCTCCCCTTTACAGTTCTTAAGTTCGCCACTCACTTGCAGCATTAATTCCATGCATGTTTATGAACTTCGTCGACACTCTTGATATTTGAAATATGAAGAAACACACCTTATTGTATCCATATAAAATCTCGTAGCCAAGTTTATCCATCAAATCTAATGTTCGAGGCATATGCCTCATGAACATTGTTCGAGAAGTTGAGTCGAAGCCCAGGATATCAACAGAATAGCGCTTTGGCTTTTCAATGATTGACGTTTTTCTTCGTCGTCTTCCATAACGATCAAACGATTCTGTCTCATCGGACGGGTAAACCTGAGGAAGAGAGAAGACTGAATGGTTTTCGAGAATGTGGAACGCTGTTGGTCGTAACCTTGTTCTTTTCTCTTGAAAAGTCTCTCATGCCAGCAAAAGCCTTCTCAAAAATCATAGTTTTATTTTGATAGCAGCGAATGTAGAACGCATCAGCGTTTGCATAGAATCGAGTGTTCTCTGGGGCCTGAAACAAAGGATTACTTCGTAGATACACTATAATAATAATTGGATGAAGCTTTTGCCGCTGATCAATCCCGTTTTTGGGATGCGGCACGCATTGTTCTTCCTGTTATACATTCGTAGTGTCATTTGCCTGGATGTGGCCTATACGATCACTTGCAGGGCAACCGATTCAGTTCTTATCGTATCCGATAAGCTTGGTACCAAATAACCGACCCCAGAGGGAAGAGGAATGGCTGCCCCAGACGACCCACTCCCCGGATTAGACCCCCGGATCGCGCGCCTGGTAAGCAGCGCCACGTGTACTACAAAACATTCCGCTCTCGGATACACTATAGTGAAAACAACTTCGCAACAAGTTGAATTCGTCAGTCAGCCATTTTCTGAGCCCTCCATTCCAGCTCCAACTTTCCCCACTCCACTGCTCATGAATTCTTCCTGAAGCTCTGCTCAAAATCACTTTGTGACTCTCAGGTGAAAATGAGATTTGGGAGGGGCACTCCTTGTTACCTTATCCTTAGTGTTAAAGTGCATTTCTCCGGAACTTCAAGCACATGGGTAAGATAATACGTAAATGGTGCATTTGTAGCGTACTTTTGATAAGGAGCGGTTACTGTTCTATATTCTACCTTGTCACATCCCACGCAATTGATTCCATCTAGTAATCCTGCCTGGAGCTCCTCCAACTTAAAGGCACAACCCAGGCAGAGGTCGTGTGAACTCTTCTCTTCGGTCAGAAGTATAGAACCCTAGGGGACAATCACAAATGTGGCGTTCACGTGCACGGAATTCGACCGACAAGAACGCTTTGGGCTTGCAAAGTAAGCTGCTCGAGCTGCAGCGAACGAGCTCTCTTATCAGGCCGTTGTCTGGTGCTCTCTCATCTGATGCGCTCTCTCGCCCCATACTCTCCTCTTCGCGCTTAGTCTCTCGTTCCTTTAGCACAGCCAATTAGGAAGGTGAGTGAGCCCTCAACCTGAGCGTTTTCGACGGATTCTTTTCCTTTTTTCTTCACTGCCGGCCCACTTGGCACCGATACATTCACATTCGTGTGCAAGAGCCACACCAGTGCGATCCTGGGGCATGCCTTTAATCTGGTAAGAATCCATCTTGGGTTGATACCGTTTCATCGACCATGGTGGTGGATAAGTAACGTTAGCGGACTTTCTTCATCATTACCCCGGTATTAACCAGAAGTATAGTTTTCAAATGAGTTGTTTATGAATTGTGAGCGTTGTTGTTCTTACCTTTAGTATTGGAGAGCACAATGGAGTTGCCCCTAACCACATTTTCATTTGACTGTCTTTAGTGAATTCTCTTCTACCAAAAATACCTGTATGAGTATTTCTTTTCCAGAGAAATGAATTCAACGACCAATGCTTCAAATCATTCACGATATACTCGATATCTCGAAGTCAGATTAGGCGTGTCTATGGGTTTGACGTGGCGGCCGCCGCATTTGATGGAAGTTGCGCGGATAAGCATGCTCTGCTGATATCCAATGGAGTACGTTAGAAACAGCCTATCCTCACGGCTTTTATCAAGTGCGGCAAAGGCCACGTCAAATCCATAGCCACGCCTAATCTGACTTCGATATTTCGACTGTACGAATCAATGAACAAAAAGTTTTCAATCCTCAAATCGCAAAGGGAGAGTGGAAGTATTGCAGTCAAGGCAAATATGGCTTAAATTTGCTATAAAAATAACAACAAAACTGCTGGCGGTTGAATATGGCACACTACCAAACAAGGGTCCATCTTCACCTCACTCTCGCAGCAGAAGCATGACAAAACGTGAGGTGAGTTTGAAGGCAGTTAAAATGATGAAGCGAATTGTGGAAAAGGAGAAATTTGCTTACTGAGAAGGAAAGCTGGCCTTGCTAAGGGCCGAGGTCGTCGTGCCTTGACAGCGGAATCTTCACTCGTAACGGTATAGCAAGGCCTTACCCGTGTTTGACCGCCGCCGTGGAAAGCCCCGCCTTAGGGTTGCGGGCCCAGCCAATGATCACTTGTAAGTAAGGAGTTGTCGTATTTGGCGAGAACTGGAGAAAGGATGTGCAATACGTATTCATTGGTGACGTCATCTATCGTGAAATCTCGTCGAGCGCGAAGTTAGCGAGTAGAAAAGGGGCCAGGGGTTTCAGGCCATTCCTTGGATTTATTCTCCACTACGCCACTTGCCACCTCTTATTTCATTTCACCTAGCGACCTGTTAATTGTACCTTTTGATTTGAGGTCACCATTACCGCTGAAGTGCTACGGATTAGAATTTGCCTTATTTTCAAGGTAATGTCTAATTATACGGCGTACACAAAATAAAACAAATCAACCTCTACAGTGGCTACTTCAGAAATCTGTCTAGATCCTTCATTGGTCGTGCTGTTTCGAAGTCCACCTTCAATAAAAACAACCTAAACATGTACGTGAACACATTAGCAGGATTGAAAGTCTTTAGAAAAAATTCCCCTACCCACCTTGCACTTCGCATTTTCAGTGACGTTTGGATACCGTGTAAAGTGAGGATGTACATACATGTGCCCTTCGCTGTCCATGGTAGCAAAGTCAAAATCTTCGTACGGGCACTTCAACTGTCGAAGGCGTTCGCTAACTCGCCAGCCCTAAATGATATTGACCAATCCTGCGAAAGAACATACTTCAATCTACTGACTCTATCTGCTTTACATTATCGTGGGAGCATTTTCGAACAATTGTTTCAAATTCACGCCCCGAGACAAGGCCACTGGTGATACGTTCAGATGAAGTGGAAACGGAGAATCAGAGCTACTTCCAAAGGTTATTGAAAAGCTGATCTCATGGTTTGGAAGTGAGCGAAGTGAGCGCTAGAATCTTGCCAATGCTCTCAATTAATGGTCATGGCTCATGAGCAGTATTCGGTATATACATAGATCAATCCCGGATGGAAAGATGATAAAGCCAGCTGGATCAATGTATCCCTATAGGAGCATATACCACTACGCAATGACGTTCTTGTGACTTGAGACTCGACAAGGACGCTTGTGAGTTGGATGCGAGCGACTGCAACTGCTCTTCATAGGGTGTCTGCGACAAGCACGTCCTTTGTGCTATCTCGTTTGTGGCAATTGCTGGCGTCACAGACTCCCCGAAGGTCCATGAGATGAGGTTTGATCTCAATGTTTTTTCAATTCTTCTCACTCTTTCCTTTACCGGGCCCGCCTTCCATCTACGTTTATCATTTCTAAGCAAACCATTCCCTTTGTTTGGAAATTGCTCAATGCACTGCAAATCCCAGCTGTCCCTCCAGGATTGGCTAATTGACACTATATCGGGAGGATTTCTTTTGAATATCTTCCCGGGCCTCCAAGTGCTACACCATTTAGCAATCATTTTCAACGAAACCAGAACGTCTGAGAGAATAAAATTAGTGAATTTCGGGAAGCCTACCCCTTGCAGGTTTGTAAAGACGAAATATCACTCAATTCGGACGAACCATAAACCGGGCGCAACTAGCGCATCCCAAAAATACAAAGACTAATCAACGCCAAAAGCTCCACTCTCTATTCTTTCCCTAATCAGAAACACAAAATATGGGCCACATGATTTAGGAAGGTCACCATGAAGAAAGCGGCCTAATCAAAAAGGAATCCAAGTGTAATAGCAAGAAAGTGGTGGAGCACGCCGGGCCATAAGTGTAATGGCCCTTTCTGGAACCACGGTCCTTAATTCAGGGTTCGAGGGCACCACATCATGGAATTGGCGTGAGGCTTGAGTGTGAGTGCATCCACAAAAACTTCGAGGCGCTTCATGTAGAATCGCATCCATTGCTCTAATCGGCAATAGTTATCTCTTGTGTGGATCCGTAGGGATCACCCTGTTGGGCAACTTCTTGCTTTGGAGAGGCCAAATTCATCACCAAACCTGACCGTTCTGGCGTGCCTTAGCAGGACTAGAAAACTTAAATCACCGTTTGTACCATGTCGAGTTGTTCCACTCTTTGTCATTTTTCCAACTGATATGATTGATTCAAATTTAATGAAAAATACAAAATACCTAGGAAAGCGGTGACAAATACAGGGTGTCCCATAAATATTGCGCCACATTTTGAGCTTAAATCCTGTGGATGTTTATAGCTTTTCAGACGTGGTCATGATTCTTCTCTACAGTGCACGGTAGGCCGCGCAGCGGTTTAAATTTCAAAGAAGTGCGATGATTATCACCGGATGCTCGACCTAGCTGAGCGAAAGATGTTGTTGAAGTGCTGTTGAAGTTTAGGCGTATCATGATATCTAGGCCGAACCGTATTTGCCCCATTAAAGGCAAAAAGTCGGGCCTCAATAAGGGGGTATTTATGGCGATTGAAACTGAGTGTAGAGATGCGAAGTGGAACGACAGTGGAGAAAAAACTGAGAAAAACCGTCGACAAGGCCGTTAACAAAACCCTCTTTCCCACTAGCAGTGAAGGAGGCTGGCTTGGGGAAAGAGGCACGTACAAACAAGTTTTCTGGAGATGTCAGTCGTTCTATCGCTTATATACGGCGGCGCGTTGTGATCCGGAGCAGGGGGTAACGTCTCTGCGGGTGGCGAGCCATGGCACAAAGAGGCGACGGAAAGGGATTTGATTTGGTCATAAGTCGTGGACTCGATGCTTAGAGAATCGCTTACGCGTGAGAGTGTGCTAAAGAGCATACGGGTCCAACAACTGCTTGCAAGCATTGTTAGATCTCGGCCCTTGACGCCACCTCTCCACTAATTTGGTGTGTCTTTTGGCGCCCTTACGAAAGTGGCTTGTAAGCCTGCACAAACGTGTACTACTTCTTTGGCCGAATCCAGAGAAGCGGGCGAACACACATCAAAATACGTGTGAAGTGCTGTGTGATGTAGTGGGCTGGTGGCTGGACCGTAAAAGTATATTTAGGACTCGGGGGGCTGAGGATCGGGCAAGATCCTCTGCGCGATCCAGGCTACAATATTACAACCTTTGACCCCATGCTCCTTCCTGGAGGATGCCTTGGGGAAGCTTAATTTGAAAAAAACAAGGAAGATCGCTTCAAGCGGGGACTAGCAACTTATTAATGATGGTGCGGAGGTCTAATACAGGTCAGTCACCATTACTACCTGTTTGAAATGAAATACAGCACAATACTAAACCTAGTTAAAAGACGTTGTCACTATCCTCCACTTAGGTATCTGGCCACTTTGAGGAAAAAAACCTGATCCCTTTAAATCGGCGTCTGCATATTGGAGAAATTCGTGCACGACCTTAAAGGCACGCTCCACGATTAGGCGCGCTTGCCTCTTCCATCCCGGGGGTAGTAGGCAGGCGGACAAGTGTTGTTGTCGCACCCCTTTTGCCGCTTGAAAGTGCGCGACAAAGGCACAAGCAGCTCGTCCGACCTGCAACTCACACCTTCGTCCGCAAGCCCCACCCTCGCTGTCCGTTGCCACGTGGCGCTGCTTGAAAAGCGCGGGCGCATTTGAGGCAGCGGTCCCACCGCGATCCTGTGTCAATGGCACTGGAGCAACTAGAGTCAGGCTCGCGAAACTCGTCCAACGCGCCTTTTCTCTATCCCAAGGTGGAATGTTGCTGAAATAGGGGAGGTTTCTGTACGGGGCGTAATCTGTGATTTCGTTTGCTTTCCTTCTCTTTTATAGACCACCTCCCACCTCTAGTATCATGATTAAAGGACGAATTTACGATGGAAAAGCAACCCATTCCAAATTGAGGTAGAGATGGTGAGTAGTACCAGAAAGAAAGCGAAACCACGAAAAACGGCCCAGAACCGGAGAAATGGGACCCCTTCCTTGTCCGTTGATTTGAGCATTGATGCGACTCTCATCGCTGTGCCCTCTTCAACACTACGCTCTCTCAGCTATCTAATCACTCGCCACCTATTGTACTACGGCGAGTGATCAGACGATCGGTGGGCGGAGATCGCCGAACTCGCCAACTTTGAGCCATGCTAGATCTCAGAGGTCAAATCTTTCGATGCCGATTGCGTGTCTGTCCGCACCCTCAAGAGATTCACCGCTCTCCCCACTAGGCGATTTCTCCCTTCTTCGACCTTCGTTCTTTCCGTGCAATCCTCCTTTATGCTTTTGGACTCCTATTTTATCCCGAATCTTGCCTTAAACCGAATGGCTTCCTATACCATGGTTCCTACGTGCTGCACCATCCTATGCAAGCTGTGTTAAGGGACAGAGCCTGCACTAAACATTGCATCCACATGGATGAGCCGAAGCCTTTTCTCTGCAAAGTTTCGAAGAGAACACCCCAGGATGCCATGCGGGCCACAGTAGAGTTGCGTTCGAAGCAATTGGGAGCCATACTCACAACAACAGGGGGGGGCATACCGAAAAAACCGTCATTCTTTTCAATATGTGAATGTACGGCTACAAAATGTGCATGACCTCTCGAAGATACATCCAATTTTATAGAAGTTGTAAGTGACGAAAAGTGGTGCAATATTCATGAGACACCCTATATGTCCACCAGTAAAATGGAGAACGTACAATAATAATAATTAAATTGCTTACTGATTCTATAATGATTTTTTAGGACTATAAGGTAGAATAGTTTGAAAGCTTACCACTAGCTTACCATATCGCTAGCGTACAAGTTCGGCAGGGGAATTTGCATTTGTTGTCAAACGGATGAAATAAAGCCGAGTTCCGATTCAGATTTTCGTATTTCGGAAAGTATTTGCATTTTCCTCGGGCTAATCATAAGCCCAGTGTCTGCTGTGCGTAGACGCGATATGCAACTGATTCAAGCCAGAAGAATGTTGCTATAGCACAAATGAATGCCTAAACAAATAATGAATATCTTGCTTCATTGTGGTTGCCAAGTTTTGGGATCAATGAAGAAGGGAAGGGCTGGTTTCTCAAGCCGAAATATCTGTTTTCCAGGTATAGTACAGCCAGGATCAACCGCCCGGTCCAACGTGGGGGTCGGGTTGGCCGAAGTGAGAGGGGGTCGTATTCGCTGAGTTAACTGTCGCAATGCGGAATGACTGAAATGTAACGCGGATTGGGAATGAAGATCTAGTTCAGCCTCACAAGCCGATTACCACTAGAATGGCGGGCCTTTAGCGCGCAGTCCGAGTGCTTTTTTCAACTATAACACAAACGAGTGCATGGCGCCACCTAGCTAGTAAAAAGAGCGTGACATGGTTTAATGCTGCCAAAATTACAGCAAAAATTTGCGAAGAATATAAATTTACTCGTGTGTACTTCCTGGCAATGAGTTCAGTGTTACTGTCATGAAGCCACAAGCATTCATGTCGATCATAATAAAAAATAAACCATTATCCTCGAAATCATGAAAAAAAAAAACCGTTCAACGCGGAACAATTTGAAATTGAATTGAAGAATGTTGTGTAGTTCCAAGCCCAAAAAATAGCGCTCGCCAAAATCGGTCCGAAAATCCCTAAAACGAGTCCAACGGCAATATTTGTGACTTCACTGATTTGACAGACCCTAGCGCTCTAGAAAGCGCGTAACTTTCCAGGTCTTATTCCAGGGAGCAAGATGCAAAAGGTTGAATACTTGAAGAAGT